CATTGCTCTATTGGTTTGGGAATGACTTGGCGTTGGAGCTCATTAAAGACGGCTATGGAGCTAACACAACCAAAATGGTGGGATCTTGTCAGCTCTACCAACCCATAGCAGCAGCAGCAACTAAATCGAAGCACTCCAAGCTATCCAGCAATCCGCCTCCGGCCACGACATCTCCGTCATTGCCAAGTCCATCGTCGAAGAGATCGTCGTCTCCCCCGCCAATAAGCCCACCACAAGCCACGAGTCGGCCCAGTACCCTTAGCTTGATTGGAGCCCGTAACGCAGTTGCAATAGCCACAGCCATCTCTCTCTTTTCCTTCATAAACTCCCCAAAGTCTCTGCCTTTCTCTCTCTCTCTCTTCCTCCGTCTCTCCAGTCATAATTCGCCATTCTGGATGGCTGACCTTCAAATGACAATTCTTGGCAAAATAGCATCTGGGTACAAGTAGGTTTGGTGCCGATAGGGAAGAAATTAAGCTTGGAAAACAAAGCAGAGGCCTATTCCCCGATCTCAAGGCCTTCCATCTAGGCCTGCAGCTCCGGCGAGACCAAGTTCGAGCGCCAGTGGTTCGTCGAAGCACTCCATCATCCGTTATTCCTTCTACAAGACCCTGCTCTCTTCTTCTACATAACTGTAGCCACCATCATCGACTTCATCACCATTTGGCTCTCCTCCTCCTTCTGCTCAGCAAGGATGCTTCGCTCCACCTCAGCACACTGCATCTCTGTCCACTCCAGCTCGCCCAAGCTTTATCATGCTCCTCCGCTCCTCCTTAGCATCCATCAACTACCTCAAACTTCATTATGTTTCTCCACCAAACCCCACTTGTTGCACATGGTGCGCACACCCGGAGCAAGTTAGGATGTGTTTTCGCCCTCGACTTCCTCTTCTACGACACCTCTAACGATAACGTCTGTTTCAAGTACTCGCTCCTTAGCAAATAACTTCAGTAACCGCCGTCAAACGACTAGCCGTTTATGAAGTTCAACGCGTTACACTCTGCCTCAAGCTCTTGCTACTTCTGCACCTCCACCATGGCTGCTGCCTTTGAATCAGCGAAGAACTTCAGCGACTGCTGTCAAACAACTAGCCGATCGTGAAGCTTGATGCTTTGCACCACCTCAGTACCTCCAGCTTTTCCTTTCCCGCTGCAGGTGGCTACCATTCATCCCACGCAGCACACACATATATATATATATATAAATCATTAAAAACAAACTATTGGTGCAGTAGCTGTGTAAATAATGGTCTCTAGAGAAGCAAATGAAAGATGGTCCGTGTGCGAGGAAGCCCATCGAGGAACCCAGCAGTGTCAGTCTACCATACTCGTCATCAGAACATGGACACACACACAAAAAGAAGGTGCAAGCTATTGTTAGCAAGTCAAGAAGGAAAAGGAAAAGAGGTGGTGGCAACAGAATTATTGAAAATAAGAAAATAGGGGAATGATGGTGCACGGCACCACCTTGGAAAAGTATGATTAAAAATACACACACACACACACATATATTTAAAAAAAAAAGAAAAAAAAAGGGAAGCAACATGTCTTAGTGAGATATGTGTTTTAGCACAGTACACCGAATAAAATAAAGCATGTTTATTGATATCTCTGGGAAATTACAATTTTACAAAAAAAATATATATAAGAGAAAGAAAGGAAAAAATAGGGAGCCTTCACAAAGGTTGCTCATGTGAAGCCTCAGCACCTGGAAGAATCCTAGAAGAAAGAGGCACTAAAGATTGATCATGTGGCGCCTCAAAACTTCGTCGAACTCCAAATGGTGAAGGAAAAAAGTGCCTCTTGAATGTAGCCACAAACTTTTAATGGTCACTTTGAATCCGACCTTTGGAGTCCTGCAGCTGATTAAGCTTCCTCTTCATGCTCGTCAAATAATTATTTGGAAGCATGTGCAAATCTCTATTTTTGCGCTTGAGCTGTCTAATCTCTTGTTTAAGATTTTCCACCTAGGCAGTCAATGATCCAACTTGGTAAGCTCGAGCAAGTAGACGTTGGCCCATGTTAGATACAGAGCCCGCACACTTAACACTGAGAGCCCATGAGTCTTGAACAGCCAACTCATCAGACCGCCTTGAAAGTAGCCTATTATCTCTAGGAGTGAAAATGTTCCTAGATACAACCATAGCCATTGTTGCATCCCTCATCACGGAGTCTTCAACTGTAAGGGGCCATTAGAAGATAAGAAGGATAGGCGCCATAAATTACCCTAACGCGGCGCGCTTGTATCGCTCCTAAGACTCAAATCAAAGCAAATGTTAGACAAGTAGGCCATTTTAAAAAAATGGTAAAAGAAAAGGGTTGGATGTAGTAAAATCTCATAAATACACTGGAGACAATTTTCATGAGCGGGTAATCTTCAAAGTGTGCATGTTGGATGTGATCGATACCTCTATAAAAGGATAGGCAACACAACCACCAATTAAAAAAATCGAAGAGACACCATTCTCCGAATTTCAAAAGCCGAATTTTCCTGCATAAGGTCCATCAACACTTTTCAGACGCAATCTCAGCTTGTCGGATAACACGTGCAACTTTGTCAAAGATCTCTGACAGAGTTGAAAACGTGTGAAGTTCGCTATTCCAACTATCGCACTTTTGCCGACAAACGTGGGTGACAAGGCCACATCCGCACCACTACCAGCTATTGAGAAATTCCTATATAGGTCGACCTTCATCCTCTATGGCAAGGAACACATCCAAAATGCTTAACTTTTCTTCCTTGCTAAGGATACATCTGTGACTAAACCTCTCAACATACTCAGTTTTCTTCCTCCCTGAAAATACCTCTTCAACCAAGTCACACCAGAGCAAACGTATCTCATATCATCAAGGTTGAAAGCAAGAGTATTTCATAGCATGCTTTCTTTCTGTCCTTTTCTTTGGTCTTGGTCTTCCCTGAAGGACGAGGAGAAAGAAAGCAATCAGTTGGCACTTGCAATCAAGCTTCCAGTCAGGAACCGATTGCCTGGAATCCCTTCCATGATTTCTTACCTAGCATTGCTATCAAGTACTCATCTTCAACTGTTGATGTACTTCCAAAGAAGATACCAGATGCCTAGAGAACATATAAGGCAAGTGAAAATGATACATCAAAGTATGTGGAGACAAGCGCAGCAAATACATGTGCTGATTCATCCGCTACTTCTTCAAAAGAAAAAATATCTCATATCATCAGGGCCGAAAGCAAAGGTATCTCATATCATGTTTTTTCCCTATCTTTCCCTTTACCCTTGCTCTTACCTGCAAGACAAGGAGAAAGAAAGCAATCAGTCAGAACTCGAAATCAAACCTCCGATCTAGAACTGATTGCCCGATCGCTTACCTAACATTACTCTCGAGTATTCATCGTCGCTGAGAAGTAATGTTTTGAAAGACCACTCAAATGCAAAGGTTGCATTCCACTCTTGCATCGGGGACAAATACCGCAAGAGATTGAAGCAAAATGATCAATGATGAGCTGGAACAAATCACTATAGCACGATGCCCTTCCCTGTAGAACTGCATAATCCAGACAGAGGAGTCTAAGGCAAGTCCAAGCCCGACATCGTAGCTCTAATCGAAGAGCTCGAGAAACTTCAACAACCTTTCGCTGGTACCGTCGCCAAAGAGCAAAGCCTCGCCGTGCAATGCCGTTAAATCACCCCTGCTTCTTCAAAAGAAAAAATATCTCATATCATGCTTTCTCTCTATCATTTTCTTTGTCCTTGTTCTTACTTGCAGGATAATGAGAAGGAGAGCAATCAGTTAGCACTTAAAATCAAGCTTCCAGTTAGGAACCGACTACCTTGAACCCCTTCCCTGATTGCTTACTTAGCATCGCTCTTGAGTACTCATTTTCAACTGCTAATGTGCTTCTAAAGAAGATACCATGTCTGCCTGGAGAACAAATAAGAAGAGTGACGACGAAACATCAAGCTTGGGGATAATCAACAAACACAACAACTGCACGTGCTGGTTCATCCCTAACAAAGCCGAATCTCACTTGCCAGGTGAAGCCGCTCGTGGTCCTATTTAAATTCAAGATCAAGCCTCGATGGCCTTTGAAGAGATCAAAAGTCCGATTCAAGATCAAGTGTCCACCACCTTTGAATATCATACCATTAACCAAACTGCTCGGGTATGAATTGGAAAAATTGAACAAAGAAACAGACCATCACCTCCACCTTGTGCCTGTTTGCCATGTGTCTGAATCCTGAAAACCGCTTGTGGTCCTATTTAACTTCAAGATCAAGCCCCAACGACCCTTGAAGAAATCACAAGTCCGATTCAAAATCAAGTGTCCACCGCCCTTGAATCAAATTCAGCTCCAGATAAAATGAGTAAGTTCAAACCCTTAGAGGAAACCAGAAAACCCTCCAGCCCAGTTTAAGATTAAGCCTGTGGAAAATCAACATTTGGAAGAAACCAGAAAACCCTCCAGCCTAGTTCAAGATTAAGCCTGTGGAAAATCAACAGTTGGAGGAAAATCTTCCAGCCAAATTCAAGATCAAGCTCCGACGGCCCTTGAAGAAACTTTCAGCCCAATTCAAGATCAAGCCTTAACAGCCCTTGGATCGACATCTACATTAAGAGATTTCAAAACGCATCTTCTATACATGACAAGCACATGTATACGACGCGCCTTGAAGTGGGGGTATTTGTAGACATCGAAATTTCGGTGAAATAAATCTTGATCAATAATTAAAATTCCAACGTTCATCTGTCACATAAATTTTACACGTAGCATGTGACTGAACGAAAAATCGAAAATCATCGAAAAAGTCATCAAATATGACACGTATCAACACCTGGCATAAATGATTTATTTCATTTTGATTATTTAAATCCAAAAATCAAGTTTTGGAATTCTATAAATAGGAAGCCAAGGCATTCATTTTCAGGGATGAATTCACATCACACCAAAACCCTGAAGCTTTGAAACTCTAAAGCTCCCAAGCAAATCCCGGAGGATCAAGAAAGCTCTCTTCGTTCTTCGTCAAATCCTCCTTTAAGATCAAGCCCCAACAACCCTTGAGGAACTTCCACCAAATCCTCCTTCAAGATCAAGCCCCAACAGCCCTTGAAGAACTTCCACCAATTCAAGATCAAGCCCTGACGACCCCTTGAAAAAAGCGTTCATTGTTCATCACCTGTTCATCCTAAGATCAAGCCTTGAAGGCCCTGTGATCAACATCACAATCCACAAATCTACACTTTACGAAGATCGAATCAAAGGCTAAAGTTGTAGAAGAGATTGTAACCCCAAAATCATTAATACAAAATATTATTTTGTACAAGTGTTCTTATCTCATTCGTCGCAGGAATTTCTGTGTTTACAGCTTTTCTACTCTGCAATCAAACAAAAACCCCAATTGAACAAAAACTGAAAAATAACTCGAAACAAAACAATAAAAACCCCCAAAAATTAACAGAAAATAGCAAGCAAGAAACCCAATTGAATAAAAAAATGCAAACCCACAAATCCAATCGAAACCCAGATGCAAATTTCACCAAATTAAAAAAGCTCAAACAAGAAAATTAGTTCTTGCACACAAAAACAAGCACACCCAAATAAATAATTGATCAAAATTTGCGAGCTTTAAACGAAAAGAGCTTTTACCTGTGGAAACTGGAAAGATAGCATTTTGTGGAAAGAAGTTGCTCTCTGTGTTTGCATAGTATGCGCTCCACTCTCGTATGACCCCGAGCCGGAATAACACGACCTGGAGAACAAGAGAGATTGGTGGGAGGAGACGCCCTTTTCAGATCTGGTTCGTGATGGTTTCGCAAGGGTTTTGCGAGAGGGCGAGAGTCTAATTGTGTGAGGAACGCAGAAGAAGGGAAGGTAGGATAAAGGAGGGCAATGTTGGTAAATTGAAAAATTCATTAATGAGTTACTGTTCATCCATGTTTCTCAAAATAAGCTGCTTTTTTGCAGCTTTAGGATTTTAGTTTTTTTTCTTCTGAAACTTTGAAATAAAGCTGAATTGGGGTGTTTACCAAACACCAAAAACTTTCTTAGCTTTTTTTCATACCAACTTTTTTTAAAATCACCTCAACCCCAAATCATACCTAAAAGCTGTTGTTGTCAACCCACACCTGCAATGTTAAACTTAGGTCACGAGCATGTTACGCATTGCAATGAAATTATTAAGGTTGTCAAGAAATAGTACGTTACCAGCCAGCAATCATAAGAGTATATGAAGTGGAATGATCTGAAACTTCTGCTGCATTAAATGAAAAAGGATTGCATGGATGTCTCCTAGCTCACATACAAAGAAGAATCAGTTAAATAGTGGTACAGAGGCAAGGGAAGGACATACGCATAACCAAGAGTGGCTCTACTGATGAGTCCAAGAAGCAAAGAACCTTGAAACAGCATGCCAGGAACCTGCACCAACTCTCCCGTAGCGTTGGGATTAGACGAGAGCAGCAGACCTACAGAAAACATTGACAATGACAGTCCAGCACCAGCAAAAGGGCCCGCCAGTTATATGTCGACTTTTGTGCTCCGATCAGGAATAATGGATTTAAACAACAAAACCAGTGACAAAACCAGTGAACGATGAGAATAAATTGTCTGATTCACCTTTAAGTACAAACAAGGGAGATAAGGGAGTCTAGGCGCACAGATGACCTAGTTCGAGCAAAGGTAGTCACAAATCTAGCTCAAACTACTGCACCAAGTACAACATACCTATAGCTACAACTATCACATAAATATAAAAGTCCTAAACTATTCAAACTTACAATACGGGAGAAATGGAAAAGTCAGAAACTCATGACTCAGAAGTCGGAACAGAATAAGCCAACACTGTCTTAAATAAAATGTGTAAATCGTGTCTGGGATGGGGAGCGGCAGGGGTAAGAAGTACATTACAAAGATCAAATTTACATTATTCATTCGGAATGACCTGCTCCTACTCAGATCGTATACTAAACAACAGAGACAAGTCTCTTAAACGGACATGGTTCGGATTGCTATACTTGGATTATTAGAGGTACCTGAGTTATTGCACCGAAGCTGCCAAGAGTAATATTAGGAATAAAGGAATGCTAAGTTTTACTTTCTTTCGGAAAGCAGCCACAAAATGCCCAACTTCCTGCATACAATTAACTCCATCGTAATCACATTCAAATAAGAACAAAAGTAAAATTCAAATAGGAAATCACAATTTACAAAATATTGACTAATTCGTCAAAACTCAAAAAATCATTTGGAGAAGGTCTAAATTGACAGAAATTTTTTAAAAGAAAATGACATAATTTTCATTTTTCACACAAAGCATACGCAAGTCATCAGATTTTTTTTTCACTTAAAAGTGACACAATTGAGTATTTACTTATCGTTCATTTTATTCACTAGCATGCCCTGTCTTGAAACTGACAGAATTGAGTATCTACTTATTCTTCAACGTACATCGTCAGGTAAGTGAACTTGAACAATAAGCATGCTCATTTTATTCACAATCAAATCTAGTATTATACATAACAACGTAAAGAAACATCACAATAAATCAGCTCTCTGTTTCATTGGCATAGGCTTAAAGATTCTACTTGGTGGACAAGAAAGAGCACAGTGTGATAGCCAATATATAGAAAGAAATATACATTTTAAATTTGAACCAAACCCAACAAACAGCAAGACATCTCGCCTATATGAAACGGTAAAACGCCCAAAACACCATATGCTACAGGCAAAGCCTAATCTACATATGGGAATAGCAACTCCATATCTGGTGGGTCAACGGCATTTGGATCTGTGAAGTATTTCACCACCTCTGGTGGAAGTCTATTTATCTGTTCAAAATAATGCATGAATATAAGTAGATACTCTAAAAATGAGAAAGAAAGCAATTGTTAATGGACCATTTATAGCATCACAAAACACATAAAAATAAAATAAAAAAAAACGCAAGTTAGCGTACCTGAGATGCAATTCCTAATTCCACAGAGGATCCAATTGTTAGAAGTAGGGGTGAAACTCGAGCAGGTTGGTGGGTTGGGCGGGTTGGAAGGTCAACCCAATCCTAACCTAACTTTTACAATTCAGAATTGGGTTCGGGTTGGGTTTTAATCGGGTTCATTCGGGCTTGGATTTAAACCGATTCGGGTTTATTTGGGTTGGGTTCGGATTGTCCAACTTTTTCAAGTTTTAATCGGGTTCATGCAAAGTTTGAATTAAAATACAAGAAATACCAAAGCTAGTACCAAAAGAAAAGAAAAAAAAAAAGGAACACTTCATCAACAACTGTAAGATCAAAGTTTGATTCTACAGCAGTAATTCCTATTGTTATTGTTCTAATACAAAATAGCAATTAGTCTCTTTCTCATAAATGTATACATATATTTATTCGTTCTTCAGCATGTATGATAGATAGCTGATTACTAAGTTTCCTTATTGCAGAGAAGGTGATGATCAGTAGGCGGCATTTGCAAATAAAGTTCAGCACGTAGGGGTGGTCACGGTCAGGTTCAGCTTGGTTCCACTCTCAAAATAGAATCGGAACAGGAAAATTTCAACGGTTCGGTTCAGTACGGTTCTGTTTAAATTTATTACTAAAATCATACAGTTCGGTTCATGAAGGTTTCGGTTCGGTTCATGCTGGTTTATGGTTCTAACCAAAATTATATATATGTTTTTTCTAATTTTCTACTTCTAATACCAAACACATATTTCAACAACAAATTCAAGTAAATTTAAGTTTCCACTACTAGATCTAGAAGATTTATGACCAGAATATAGAAGTGTGCATATAAATATAAATCAAAATATAGAAAGGCTCATATCAAGACCAAAGTGTAGATCTTAAATTAAAACTAAAATGTACATAATGCATAATAAACTGGAAAATAATGGAGAAAAATATTGTAGGGGGAGAAAAGTGATAAAACAACAAAGAAGTGAAGAAAAATATTGGGCTTATGCACATGGTCTTCTTGGAAAAATGTCTTATTTATATAAAAAAAATAATAATAAAACAATAATTTATATTAAAAGCGGTTCGGTCCGGTTCTTAATATTTCCAAACAATAATTTATATTAAAAACGGCTCGGTTCAATTTTTGTTTCGGTTTTGACTTTTTTGGTCAACGTGGTTTTTTATGGTTTTTTTTGTCATGGTTTGATTTAGTTTTCCGGTTTGGCGATTTTTATGCCCACTGTGACATCCCACATCGCCCAGGGGAGTGATCCTTAAATGTATATTCCCATCCCTACCTAGCACGAGACCTTTTGGGAGCTCACTGGTTTCGAGTTCCGTAGGAACTCCGAAGTTAAGCGAGAAGGTGGCTAGAGCACTCCCAGGATGGGTGACCCACTGGGAAGTTGCTCGTGAGTTCCCAGAAACAAAACCGTGAGGGTGTGGTCGGGGCCTAAAGCGGACAATATCGTGCTACGGTGGTGGAACGGGTCCGGGAAGTGATCCGCCCCGGGACGGGATGTGACACCCACCCTTATCAGCGTGGTAAACAAAATAGACGTACCAATAACAAAAGAGGCGCCTGGAGCATGACATTGACCCCAATGCCAAAAGCTTCAACAATATTAGTTACACCCCTAATGAAAGGATATGGGTTTTTGGACATCCATTTGGGTGTATTAATTGATATGGGGTTGGGTTGGGTTGGGGATGGACGGGCAAATGATCAACCCAACACAACCCAATCAATGAACGGGTTTGAAATCGGGTTGGGTTCGGACGGGTTATAACTAAAAAAATACCAGCTTGTTTGGATTTAAAGTCGGGTTGAACATGGGCGGGTTCGGGTTAGCCCAACCCAAGTTGCACCCCTAGTTAAAAGGAATAATAAGAAAAAAAATAAAAACCCAAGGATTTCAATTTTTTATTTTTTTTCGGTTTTGATTGCATACAATCTTCACAATGATGCATAAACCCAACTTTACACGTTTCAAATTATACTATTCTTCTTAAATTATGTTCTCAATTCTTATATATTGTGGTAAAGTGATAATTGTGCGAGAAAAAAAAAATAACAGAATTATAGTTTCTGCACCTTGACTTGCACGAAGCCACAACTTGAAGCAGTTTAAGCTGCGTTGTCGAGCCATGGTTGCAAGCCGTTAAAGTTGAGCCATTCCTATTCAAAAACCCTAGGACCAAAAAAACGCTGTTTTTGCGTCGTCTCTGTCCTCCATACTTGGGTCGTTAGCTGAGTCGCCTGAAGTTTGAACCCCGACAATATTTTACCATTTTGTCAAACAGGAAAAGTATCTTGAAGTATACTCATTTGATATTAATGTACACTTTTTCATACGATCAAGATCATTTGTCCAACTGGGTTTTTTTGCCTGACGAGATTTTGACGAGGCATCCATTGTGAGTTGGCCATACCTTTGTGTGCATCCTACTTCCGTCCTAAAGATGTTAAGTTTTGACTTATTACATTTACTCACATTTTTCCTTAGAATATGAGTCTTGTTTCATATTGGGTTTCAATTTTGTGAAGTTTACTCCACTATGCAATTTCTTAAGTGAAACTAGCGTGTTTTTTATCAGTGCTTATGAGACCAAGTATAAGAAAATCCCAATGATTACCGTGCCTTTGGGCAGCCAAAATCCAAGCTCTTTTCTTCAAGGCCCAAAACATGAAGCTTTTCCTTCCTCAATAAGAAATCTTTCTTCAAAATTTGGAATTAGAAACAGAAAAAATAGAAAAAAATTAATGAAAAAAATTTGAAAATTTTGAGTTTTAATTAAAAAGATAAAAAAATGTTGTAAATAATTAGTATTAAAAATGATTTTTTAGAGTAAAAATATTATTTTCCGTACCGAATATTTGTTGATGGACACTTTTTAGATCAAAGCTTTCTCGGAACGCAGAGAGAGAGTAGCGAGTGTGCGATGCAATGGGCTCTTCTCTCTCCTCCGCCATTCTCATTCTTCTCTTTGCTTTCTGTCTCTCTGTTCCGACCCTCTCACTTGCCACCGAGCTCGAGGGTATCTATCTCTATATTGTGAATTTTTGTTCAGTATTGCTCGTCGCCGCCTGTTTGTTTCCCGAGAAAATTTTAGGAAAATCAGTGAAATTTTGATGTTTGAGTATGTGGGTTGTTTACTTATTTCCATTTTAAGAGAGAAAAACTTGCACTTTGACCTGCTCTGCATTTATTTCCTGTGAAAATTATTACGTTTTAGTCTCACTTTTGTTGTTTCTTTACGTGTAAGGCAGATAGAGGGTTAGGGTTTCGTTATGCCTCTTTAGGGTTTATTTCGGTTGCTGTATTGCTTGAGGGAAATGTCAAGTTGTTAGCCGGTTAGGGTTTAAAAAATGTCGACTTTTTGGCCTTTAAAGTGGAATGTTAGTTTCAATATTGCAGCGTTGATTTTGAGTTTTTAATCTGCTATAGCTAAACAGTATGTCCATTATAATTTTAGGGATTTGAACTTTGAAGAGTTCGAATATCTCGTGTACTTTGATATTTTGTTTGCATATTTGAAACTAACCTTTACCAATATTGAAATCACAGGTGTTGATATTGAAAACCCAGTACTAGAAGTCATCCCAGCACCTCTTTCTGAGCACTCAGCTGTGCCTGGTTCTAAAGATGTTTTATTTTGTGAACGGGCACGAGTTTCTGGTATATCCAGGTTAAAACTTGGGAGTTATGCAAGTTCACTTAAGATCACCTTGTTTACATCTCTTGTAATCCCGGAGAGGTTGCAGAGCAAAATTCAAGTCTGTTTTCATAGGTGAGTGAAATGTCTCATCTTTACTCTACTGTGACAATCATTTTTGTTTTTTTAGGATAATTGTGTTTTATTGGTTGAGTTATGACTGCACCATATGCTACCCCTCCCTCCCTCTCTCGGTTTCTCTTTCCCTTACTCATTTTCTCTAGTCGCACTCTCACACACACGCACACCTTTTTTGTGTGGATTGTTTTGTCTCACTCATGAATTTTTTTTTACAGGAATAATACGCTTGGATTATGTCAGTGTGTAGAGGATGATTGGAAAAATCTTCAGAAAGGGTTATGGAGCTCTGTCATGTCGCCTTATGATGAAAGATATGTTGATGTCAAGTTCATTGGCAAAATACCTGACTCTGTCACCATAACTGTTGAAGAAGGTCTGATAAAAATAGAAGTGTGGCTGACTATAATTGCTTATGCTACAATTTGCAGGCTCTGATAGTTATCTGTTTTTGTCTGTACAGATTTTCAGAGATGGCGCCTTGTGTGTCTTGCACTGGGATTTACTTTACTATTGTTGGCACCAATTGTCAGCAATTGGGTACCTTTTTATTATAGCACTTCAATGGTTATAGGAGTTTTTATGGTCATGATAATCATTCTCTTCCAGGTAATTTTTTGTGTGATTCCGATGTATTTTTGTTTGACTTGGATGCTCTTAGTTTTTCATTGGGTAGTTTGAATTTCAGATCTCCTATAAAACGAATTGTAATTACAGGATTTTGTGATCATTATCTTTCACCTGCAGTTTTAGCTTGCAAATTTGTAGGTAATGTTTTGCATCATTGTTTGTTTTTAATCTTTCAGGGAATGAAGCTGTTGCCAACTGGAAGGAAAAATGTCCTCTATCTTACCATATATGGATCAGTGGTAACAATTGGTGTCATGAAGTTTACTGTTGCTTCATGGTAACTTATTAACCTCATGTAATTGACAGTACAAGTAATTCTTACAATTTATATGCCTTTGACAGCTTGGAGCAGGATCTTTCCTTGTTCCTCAGTTTTCACTGATGGTAAATTCTATTCGTTTGAGTTTTGGGCTAAGTGAAGAGATGCATAACCCAGTAAGAATTGGTTCCCTAAATCTTATATTCGCAAAATTCTCATAAATATCTAGACAAATTGTCTGCTTCTGAAACTTTCTCTTTGGATCACTTTATTGTCTTGGCTTCTCGTGTTTTTCTGCCAGGTCTCTATATTTTTACTAGTGGGAATTATCCCTGCGGGAGCTGCATTAGGGTACTGGATTGTGAGGGAGTTTGTTGTCTCAAAAGATGGGACAGTAGATGTTGGTATAGCACAATTTGTCAAGTGGGCTATGCGTATCATTGGAACAACCTCCATCTTTCAGGTGTTCTCTCGCATTCCTTTTGGCTGTATTCTTGATATTCGAGTACGAATGTTTGCCTGCTTAATTAAACTATGTGGGGTAGAAATTTGTAACGGTACTTGATGTACCTTGCTAAAATTATTTGGGGGACTTTTTATAGCTGATATGTGTCCAAGGAGAATCATTGGAATTTTTGGATAATAGGGCCATGTCTTTGTGTACTAAGATTTAGCTAGTAGATTATTGGACACTCAATACTCAGTAGACATGTACAGCATGTCACTTTCCATAGCCAAGTGCAATACACCTAGATTGTGTTTCTTGTCTATTACTTGTCCCTTTGAGGATCAATTTTTAGATCATAGAAACACCATTTATTGCCTGGCACCATTAGGACAATGTTACTTCAAACCTTGTTTTTATTTAAATTTGTCTTATGGACCCACAGGCACTTACGACTGAATTGGTTATTCAGTAATCTTATGTTAAAGTAAGTTTTATAATTTGATGTAATTGCCAAAATATTTGGTTATTGATTCTTTTCATTTTTTCAGAGCACTCTCGATACTCCTTTAGCAATGGGCGCTTTGGTTTCTTACTGGATTATCATCAAGTTGATTACTTCTTTGAAATGGCATCTCAAATTGTAAGTCATACATTCTTTACCCGCGTACTTCTTGTTATTACAGAAGTGAATGCGTTTTAGCCAAAATAATTTTTAACTTTTTGTGTGGAGCTATATTTTTCTTGAAGTTTAGATTTCTGGCTAGGTTTTGTATTTGGAAGGTAACATTAGCAGTCGAAGAAAGCTCAGTTAGATGAATGGCTGTGTCCCCTGATCATTGATAAAGGGTTTTGTCACATTAAAACATTTTACCATCATTTCGTGCAGTCATCAGTCGGATGCTTGGAGTGGGAGTCCTTGGCTGCAGAAGGGAAAACAGGTCAAGGGTAGACAAAGTCGTCTAGGATTTCTTAGCAGGAGTCTATCTGCTTGGTCTGACTCTCCTGTTAAAGGTATTTTTATTTTATGTGCTGTTACGTTTATGCATATTTTGACTGATTTGCCGTTGCAGCTACTCAGTAGTTGTTTTATTATGTACTTTAATGAAGAGTTTGTGTTGGTTATTTGTTCTGCCTATTTAGAAAAAAACTGAGTTGACATGCAAAATGCAGAATATCCATTCCCTTTTCAGCTTTACGTATCATGCAAGAGTGTAGGAGTGTATGGTCAGCGTACCATTGTACACTTTAAATTATGCTATTTGTTTCTGTTTGTTGCACGTGTCATGACATTCATACGAGGAGCGCGCAAATGCTCTTAATCAGGTTGGATAGACTTGAAGTCGTTGCTAGAGATGTCATTTAGGTATAAAGTTAGTGTGCGTAGTATCATGTTCATCCAGACAACTAACTTTCCTACATTTGTACCTAACCACGTATTTAATTGAATTTGGTCACATGTATACAAGAAACATGATTCAATTAACTCATATTCAAGGACAATATTGATAAGATGATCCATAACTAAAACAAACACCAAACTGGAATCCAAGAACATAGAAAAATGTTCACAAAGTAAATCAAAATTATTGAGGGGATTCGGCCAACAAGGCCATTCATGTCAAAATTCTACTCTTCCAACGGTGTTCGGTGGAGCAAAATTAGTTTTACATATTGACTACGAGAATGGTACTCCTTAACGACATTGGGAGAGAGGCACGAACAGGTGCATAACCAATGATCTATTTCATTGAGACAGAAGTAGATTCTGCAGGGTTGAGGTTCGGAAATATTATCGTTTATTCTTGAAGTTTTAGGTCTTAGGTGCCAAGGATCACGCTTCGGGCATGATGTCACACCTTGGCAAGCCCTGATTTTACCATATGTTGTAAAAACAAACTCGAATGTGAGAGAGATAGACCCAGACTTGGGTTTGGTAGGCTCCAGCTGGAGGGGTTTGTTCAGTAGGCCTTTGCTGAAGAAGAGCAATACCGTTTGGTGCATCTTTGCCGAAGTAGAGCATGCCCTTCGGTGCATCCCTGCCAAAGTAGGGCATAACCATTCGGTAGACTCTAGTCGAAGCTGAGTCTATACCGTTTTCTCACATTTATGGTAGTAATTAGATCCAAGAATTTGGTAAACTTCCTCTTTCTACACTGTTGCTTTAGGAACGAGTTAGAAACATGGAAGGATGAGAAAAATATTCTCCAGTCAAAATTTGATCGGATTTATAAACTTTAGAATCATATTCATTCATGGAATCCTCGTTCGGGAGGTAATTCAGTTTGTAATGCTTCAGGTATAAGTCTTGAAATGAAGATCATGGTGGAGGCTTATTTAGCTTTTCCGTGCCATTGTTGGTTACAATAGTTTCTCAACCTCTAGATAGTTAAGTGGAGATTCACGTTTTGTACCCACATAAAGTGGTTTCTGTTAGAAACGTCCAAATTAGTGAGATCGAACTTGTGACGGTTCGACAATCCATTGAATGGAGGGAACAAAATTGTGAATAATGCTATAGGAAATAAAATATCCATAAGCATCAAAGTTAGAACATTCGGGTTCTAAGACATGATATACATGAAAAATTCGGGTTTTCATGGGTGTATTATAACTCTAATAGGATAATTTCTAGTCTAAGAGATGTGGTACAATCCCATAAGGATATCTTAGATATGTTAGGATTTACACAATCACATTCCTAATCTAATAGGACTGCAACAGTTTTGTTATTTTTATTAGTAAAAAAAGTTTTATTAGTCGTTGCAGGGCAAAAAAATGGTGAAATTATTTGAGTTAAAGGATAACAAAATTAGGTTTTGTTATTCTAAGGCAAAAAAATGGTGAAATTATTTGAGTTAAAAGATAACAAAATTAGGTTTTATTCTAAGACAACTGGATAATTATATAATACACACACACACATACATACTAGAGAGATATTCCTACCAAAGCAAATCAATGCCCCAAAAGATAGAAACCTCTCAAGGAAGGAAGGATCAGTACTACTAAAGACCAAACTTCCGGAAAGATAAAAACCCCTGCATCAGATGACCTTCTTAGCCAAGTTCGTTGTAAAAGCAATCCCACTTCCTAGAAAGTCATCCTAAACTTCCCCGATATTTTGTTACCATTAATAAAGTAACCTAAAAACAAAAGTGGCATTTATTTTATATAATATATATAGTAGTGGAGATGAAGAGTAAACTTGTAGCGTATCATATGGCACAAGTGAACGCATCCTCGTCTGGTGATCTTCATCTGAATGTAGACGATTTCTACTTTTCCGCACTCTTTGATGACGAAACTTATGACGAGTCTGAGCCGGTTTCAGATTCCAAGTACACACAAGAGTTGCAGTTCCAAGAGGCTCTAATGTCCTCTTCTGCAATCACCTCCCAATCGACACACAATGGCGGTTCCTCTTCCTCTTCATCATCGGCAGCAATCCAAGCAACCCAAGCAATCCAATCCAACCCACCACAACCATCAACACAAATCCTTTGTGAGATTTGTGTTGAAATGATAGAGGTTGACGAGATGTTTCAAAATGAGGGCTGCGTTCACTCCTTCTGCTCTGACTGCATAACCAAGCATGTGGCATCCAAAATCCAAGCAAACATTCACATAGTTTCGTGCCCTGGCTTGGACTGCAGGGCTGTGCTGGAACTTGATGCTTGTATGCCAATACTTCCCAAAGAAGTAATAGAAAGGTGGAATGATGCCCTTTGTGAAGCAATGGTTTTAGGGGCACAAAGACTCTACTGTCCTTTCAGTGACTGCTCAACGGTTTTGATGATTGACAACGAAGGTGAGGAAGCTGTAAGAGTGTCCGAGTGTCCCATTTGCCATAGACTGTTCTGTGCACGATGTCAAGTCCCTTGGCATCCAGGAGTTGATTGTGAGGAGTATCGGAGGCTTAACGAGGACGAACGAGGGAGGGCGGATCTTATGGTTAAGGAACTTGCAAAGCAAAAGAAGTGGAAGCGGTGCCCTAGGTGCAAATATTATGTGGAGAAGACTCAAGGTTGTTTGCATATTACTTGCAGGTCAGTTTGCTTAATTTGGTATTATCTGCACAAAGTATTTTAGGCATAGGCAGTTGTTGCTTATTTAGGGCATTTTATCTCTAATTGACATAAAAATTTCATCAATAATTCTGTTTATCATCACAATTATGGTTTATCTTGTTGAGAGTATTATCTAACACGATATAATAGTATCAGAGCAGATTAGCCCCGAGTTAAACTTGGTGGCAACACGTTTTCTTATGTTTGGTTTGAGTGACTCCACATACGATGAGGCATGTCGATAGGGTAGTACTCTACATCGGAAATGGAAGCCTTCCATTAGTAGTTTTAAAAATCTTAGTCGTCTCCACAAATTGCCAATTAGTTGTCGGTTGGATACACATTCTAACACACTAGTACTTTTATCCTTAAGAGGATTTAGATGATGAATGCGTTTAGTGATGGAATAAGTTTAATGGGGTAAACAGCTAATTAGTTTTGACTGATCATGTTGAAATACTTTATTTAATTGTGGTTAATATAAGGTTTAATGATTTTAGATAGATTACTTGGTGGGAGTTGTGTTTACTGTGTATTGTATTTGCAGGTGCCAATACCAGTTCTGCTATGGATGTGGAGCAGAATGGACAAGTACTCATGGTGGTTGCCAGTGAGATTAAGTCGCGGAAGGCACTCGGCTTGAAGCCGTGTTACTTGTTTTATGACGCTAGAACTTTTATTTATGTACAGAATCGTCAAAAGTCCATCAATATGGGACTTTTGCTTGTAAATTTGCTTCCTAGATAATTGAGGTTGTGTGATGTGTAACATTGCTTTGAATTCCCTTATTAATGTTATTGAGTTTTCTCTTTTCTTTTGTTTTCTTCTTTCGAAGTTGGGTGACATCTTTGATCAAGTTTCACAAAATTCCATCTCGAAAATTTTATCGGAAAGAGGAGGGCCAAATAAAATGAAATCTGAAAAAAATTTCCCGGAAGGAGTAGCTGAAAGAAAAAAGACTACCCTTTGATGTCATCTGAAGAATAAGAAGAGTCTCTGCTAATGATCGGGAAACAGTGGTTGAAGATCGGAAATGTGTATTTCGAAATCCCGGTCGCAGCCTCTCCATGGTCTATTGGTTGTATTTAACTAGAATTTGATTTGCGTTATTGTGGGTCCTTTTGATTCGTATGATGTTTTCAATCCTCTGTTTTTCTTTGGTTTTTGGATCCTTTTTCCTCTCAAATCAAAGTTTAATTGAGCTATAATCAAGGGAAGATTAGAAGTATGATTACAAAAAGAACCTCTAAGGGTTTGGTTTGGGATTGTGATGCTTAAAAAAAAAAAAAAAAAAAGCTTATTAAAAGATCTGAAACATTAAATGTGTTTGATTAAAAAAAAAAGTATTTTTAAAAAAAATGTTATAAATGAAAGTAGAAAAACATAGATGCAAAAACAGGGTCTACCATGCTTTCAAAAAAAAAATTAATTTTTTTTTCAAAGCATAGTATTCAATATTCATTTAATGACATTTTCAAATGGCAAGTATACCCCACATGTTTTACAAAATTACAATATTTGCCCCTACATTATTATCTTTGACAATTATTATAGCACATTAAATATCATATACTTTTTAGTCATTTAACATATTCAAAGCAATTTATATAAAAGTTTATCAATCACTCGGACACCTTTTTATTTATTTATTTTATTAAAAGTACTTTTACAAAAAAAAAAAATACCAAACACTCAACAACTTTATTTTATAGTTGTTTATTTTTATAGCACAGTAGAAGTAGTTTTTTTTTAAAGCATAACAATACCAAACTAGCCCTAAGATTATGGATTTGGTCTGCATCAAGAATTTAACAGAATTGGGGTACTTCGAAGGGATTCTTGGGTACAATCGGGTTATATCTTCTTATTCAAGTCAAGTGACATGTGCCACTCAGTACTACGGTTTGATGATATTCTTTTTCATTTAGAAGTGAGAGGTCTTAGGTTCGAATCTCATGGATGACGAATTCGATACCAAATTAGGCTGCCAATTGTATGACTTAGCCGAACTCCCCTCTCCTTATTGTAAAAAATATCGATGTCCTCAAAAAGAAAAAAAAAGTCATGTGACATGTAATAAGAGACACGCTAATAGAGTGATATACACGCAATTAATTTCATTAGATTCTCTATAATATTTGAGTAGCTACAACTTTTATCTCTTGATGAATCAACTGTATTACTTTTGTCCCAAGTAATTGAACCTAAAATCTTGATGCAGAAACTAAATAAATTAAAACAAGGGTGTAATACTCCTAAGTCCTCCAAATCAAACCTACAGTCTCAATGCGTGCATGAGATGAATATACTGTATCAAGAATATGCATAGTGAATCAGTGATGCGCCTCGCTCATCGTCGGACGACACACTCGAGGATTGTCTCGCACAATGGGAAGCTGTAATCACTACCAGTATATGCAGTTGTTCTGCATTCTTTTCCTTTCCAACTATGATCAGATGGAGGAAGAAGAAAAATTTACTGATATGTACGAGTCTATTGTTTAAGTATGTGATTACCACACTGGATGCCTTATGTACACTGTTCTACAAATTCCCATCTAACGCCGCCTAAGCCCAGCCTAGGTGTTAGGTGATAGATCAACAACCCGATTACTTCTTAGGTGTTGAAAATTAAGAAAGTGCATCTAGACCTGCTTTGCTACCCACCTAGATCCTGCCTAGCTGCCTAGATGCTAGGCTCCAACCCGACACCTGATTAGCAGCTAGCGTCTTTTAAAAGCTTGCTTCTGTATAGATTATTGGTGACCTGCGGGAGAAGGGTTTGCTTTGATGAATCCACACGCTTTCTTCCAGCTACAATTTCTAAAAGAAAACAACAAAGCAATTTCCCAAATGAGGTATTTTCTTTTTCAGATCAACATCTCATTTTCATCTTTTCCTTTTTACTTTGCTACATCTCCACTTGAAGCTATATTTATCAAATTGCCATGTATTAAGGAGGAAAAAACATATGAAGCTATATTTCATTTTCATCTTTTCCTTTTTACTTTGTTACATTATTTATATTCCTCACTTCCGTCTATTAAATCTTTAAATTTCAACTACTAAATATTAAAATATTCATCTACAATTATTGATATCGTGTTGGCGTGTTAATATGGACTGCGATCCAGACATCAACATTATATATGTTGTTAATATAATTACTGATATATTATTGGTATGGCAATCACAATCAGTATAGTGTTGAGTCTCGTCCCACTCCACAAGCAGTGAAGTAAGTTTGACAGACTGAGGTAATATTTAAATAAAATAGAATTTTTACTATTTTTACCCATTTTCTTAAAATGCTCATAAAGTTTACTAGCCTTGTCAATCTCTTTTGAAAAATAAAAATCATCGCGTCCCTATGTGGGAGGATAAAATCCGGGTTTCGACTCATGGGCCAATCCAAGTCACCTAAGGATGGTGTTATGCAAGATAAACCGTAAGGAAAGCCCACGAGGAACAAGCAGGTGCACGTGTCCAGGTAACCGCCTCCATTACGGAGGATCACCGAGGAAGTGGGAAAGGAAGGTATGACGTGGTGCTTGTTCCCGAAGCATGCAGTCATACTACGAGGACCACTAAGGAAGTGGGAAGGAGAGAGAGATTGTGGTACTTGCTCTCCAGGCATGCAATCCTATAAAGATGGAGTGGAGCCAAAGAGCAAAGGGGGGAGAGAGGAGAACCCGAGAAAATCCAAAGAGTAGAAATCAATCGACTGACTTGAGTGTCGGAGTATCTTTTGCAGGTACCCGCTTGCCAAACTGCGGAGGAAGATTATTTTGGGACATCTCGAAGAAGGATTCGGCAAACGTGAGGATTGCGGTCAACAAATCTGTGGAGGTATTTCTTCTTGTAGGAAATTTCACTCTAACAGTTGGCGCCGTTTGTGGGAAACACAAAATCAAACTACAAACATGACTGGATCCGCACAAGAAGTTTCGAATCCCTCTGAAGGCGTAGGGACTCGATCGGTGCATGCTAGGTCTCAATCACAAAATAGTGAACCCAGTCTTGCCATGGAACAATTTAGAAGGTTAACGAGGGAATTGCGTGAAACAAAAAAGACAGCAGAGGAGGCATTGAAGAAGGTTGAAGCGAGAAATGTCGTAGAAGATGTAGCAGGCACCAAGAGACAACGTGCAGAAGAGGAGGATAAGGAAGGTAGCTCTAGTAGTGCGCCATCCAGTAACTGTGTTGAAGTGACAAAGAATCAGGACGAAGGGGGCTACAGCGGAAAAGGATCGAAAAAGGTAAAAGATGTTGATTTGCGAGAACAAATTGAGAAGATTGTGAAGGGATACAAGCCACAAACCCCAGCGGAGCTTGCCTTAGAAACGGCCAGAGGAATTCACAAATCGCCGTTCACAGAGGACATCCTGAAAGCTAAAAAACCTGCCAAGTTCACCCAACCAAAGTTTAGGTTATTTGAAGGCACGACCGATCCTGTCGAACACATTTACCACTTTCAACAGCAGATGGTACTTGAAGGAGACGATGAGGCCCTCCTGTGCAAGTTGTTCCCCTCAAGTCTTTCGGGATCATCTTTAACATGGTCCAGACAACTGAAATCGAGGTCTATCGGAAGTTTCACAGATCTCTGTGAAGCATTCATATCTCAATATGTTTGTAATCGGAGGCCAAGAAAAGATGTTACGATCTTGTTCAGCACCAAACAAAATGTTGGCGAGAGCCTCAAGAGCTACATGACTAGGTTTACGGAAGAGATGTCTACCTTAGAAGAGTGTGACTCTCACACCGCCGCTTTGGCATTCCGAGAAGGGGTGTTACCTGGAACGAAGATGCGTAGGTCGTTAATCGAGACACCACCACTGGACATGAGGGAGGTGATGGCCCGAGCTGATGGAATCATCAGATTAGAGGAAGAAGAACTTATCCAATCAAAGCGGGCCACTGCGACTATTGCTGCATCTCCAGCGGACACTACCGCACTTACCTTGAAACCCACGGCTCAACCGAGGCAAGAAAGAAGATTTTCACGGGATCCGAAGGATGGGTTTAGTGAAAGATCCAAACTTGATCACCCAACACTAAGCTGACAGTGAGCCTGGGCAAAATTTTTCACGAGAACAAGGGAAAAGGAATCTTTTGTGCGTCGGCCCCAATTCGAACGCCACTAGAGAAGCGAGACAGGAACAAGATGTGCGCTCATCACAACGACTTTGGTCATACCACTAATGATTGTCGAAGCCTAAGGAACCAAGTGGAAGCTATGCTGAAGAAGGGGATGTTGTCACAATACTGTATAGAATCGAGAGACGAACATAAGAATGATGGAGGACTTCAAGCAGTAACAGGAAACATTGGAGCGGATGAAAGGTTGTTGGATATCAATGTCATACATGGTGGGCCCCAACCCCCTGAGGGACGTGAAGCGCACTATCGGTCACAAAGATGGGAGGCCGAGAAGTCCAGACGCGTACACAACTTCAGCCCCTGAAGCGTCTGAAGCGTTGGATAATTTCGGAGTCATCTCCTTTAGCCAAAAAGACCTTGAAGGAATTCAATTCCCTCACAATGATGCATTGGTCGTAACGCTACGTGTTGCCAATTCAAGAGTGAAAAGAGTAATGATAGATGGGGGAAGCAGCACTGACGTTCTATTTTGGAGCACATTTAGAAGAATGAAATTAGACGAGAAAGAGATAAGGCCAAACCCAACTCCTATCTATGCATTTGAAGGAACGAAGGCCCAGCCCATTGGAGACGTGACCCTTCCTGTCACGGCAGCAGGTAAGACTCTTTTCGTCACTTTTGTCATCATCGATGCTCCGAGTGCATATAATGCCATTATGGGAAGGGATTGGATCCATCGAATGGATGGGGAAGCGTCAACCAGATGCCAAGTAATGAGGTGTTTGTCGACGGATGGTCAAACGACCATCGACATCAAAGGGGATCAGCTGGAAGCCAGAAAATGCTACAGCATGGCAACAGACATCAAGACAAACAGGGAAGTGCAACAGAGCACGAACCTTCATGAGAATAAACCATTATAGCAATTAGCGGAGGACCCACCATAACAGGATCAGGAAACGGCGATCAAGAACCCCCAACTATAGAACCATTGAGGGAAGAGGTTTTAGATCCAACCGATCCTGAGAAACGAATATGGGTGGGCTCCCTCCTATCTGATGCGGAAGTCGAAGAGTTGATGAAATTTCTAAGGAACAACGCTAATGTTTTTGCATGGTCTCATAGGGACATGCCAGGAATTGATCCGGAAGTGGCATGCCATCAGTTGAATGTTGATCCGAGTTGTCCTCCACACAGACAAAAGCATAGGAGATTTGCGCCAGAACTAAATCAGATTATCAGTGCAGAAGTCGATAGGCTCCTCGAAGTTGGGTTCATTCGTGATGTCTGGTGCCCAACTTGGGTTTCGAATGTCGTGGTGGTGGGCAAGAAAGAAAAAGGAAAATGGCGCGTGTGTGTGGATTATACCAACCTGAACAGAGCGTGTCGGAAAGATTATTTTCCAATTCCAAAGATTGACCAGACGGTGGATGCTACGGCTGGGTACGCACTATTGTCTTTCTTAGATGCTTATTCTGGTTATAACCAAATTCATATGGCTGTTGAAGATCAAGAGAAGACTGCTTTTATCACTAAGCGTGGATTGTATTGTTACACCGTTATGCCTTTCGGACTTAAGAATGCCGGCTCGACTTATCAAAGGTTAGTGAACAAGATGTTTAAAAATCAAATCGGAAATACAATGGAGGTTTACATTGATGATATGGTCGTCAAAAGCCGAGAAAGGTGCCAACACATTGATCATTTACGCAACACCTTTGACATATTGAGAAGATATAACATGCAGCTAAACCCGGCAAAATGCGCATTCGGTGTATCATCTGGGCAGTTCTTAGGGCACATAGTGAACAAGCGAGGTATTGAACCGAACCCAGCGAAAGTTGAAGCTTTGTGTAACATGCCAGATCCGGTAACATCCAGAGACATTCAAGTGTTAACCGGGCGAATCGCTGCCCTCAGTCGTTTCATCTCACGATCATCCGCTCGATGCAAACCTTTTTTTCAAGCCATACGAAACCGGAAAGGCGATGTGTGGGGGCATGAGCAAAGGGAAGCTTTCGAACAAGGGGAGTTGTTATACATGTACCTAGCTGTAAGCGAAGGGGCAGTAAGCGCTGCGTTATTCAGAGAAGAAGGCTCGGTTCAACAACCCATATTTTACGTGGGCAAAAGTTTAATCGATGCAGAAAAGAGGTATTCACCCATTGAGAAGATGGTGTTGGCCTTAGTAACCGCAAAGAAGAAGCTCCGTCAGTACTTTGAGGCACACACCATTGTGGTATTAACTAATCAACCGATGAGGGCTATCTTATCTAAACCAGACTTATCAGGAAGGATTACGAAGTGGGCCATCGAACTTAGTTCATTTGACATAAAGTATCAGCCTCGAAGCGCAGCCAAAGGACAGGTAATTGCTGACTTTCTTGTAGAGTGTTATCCTCGTGAAAGTTTGCAGGGTGAATGCGAAGAAATTGCAAAAGCCGACCCTAATGAGATCAAATGGGAGCTTTATGTGGATGGGTCATCCAATCAAGCAGGAGCTGGGGCAGGGATCATTTTAATTTCTCCTGAAGGCATAGACTTAGAGTGTTCGGTTCGGTTGGATTTTCTTGCATTAAACAACGTGGCGGAATACGAAGCATTGGTACTAGGCCTTGAACTTGCAAAACAATTGAAGATAAGCCGTCTTACCGTGCATAGTGATTCACAACTCATCGTCGGCCAAGCAACTGAAGAATATATGACTAAAAATGCAAGGATAGAGGCATATCGGCAACTGGTTAAAGGGCTGATGAATGGATTCAAGTATTTCGAGTTGAAGCAAATACCTAGAGAAATGAACAGAAGAGCGGATCAGCTAGCGTGCGCGGCGTCAACCGCACAAGGGAACCTGCGGGTAGCCGAAGTAGAATATATCCACTCCCCGAGTATCGGAGCAGTACAATCGGACGTGATGCAAATTGGCGGGCAAAGGTTGGGATTTGACAACCCGTTGCCAGAGCAAGCTCAAGCTGAGGATAATGACTGTTGGATGACGCCAATCGTAAACTACCTGACAAAAGGGATCCAGCCGGAAGATCTTGTGGAAGCGAGAAAACTCCGAATGAAAGCAGTAAGATATGCAATCCTTAGTGACACGCTCTATAGGAGGTCATTCTCAGGACCTTACCTCAGGTGCTTAAATCCAAGGCAGTCCGAATGGGTTCTGAGAGAATTACATGAAGGAATGTGTGGGAATCACTCAGGAGGAAGAAGCTTAGCACATCGAGCATTAACTCAAGGTTATTTTTGGCCATACATGGCTCGAGACGCGGAGCAGTATGTAAGAAAATGCGACAAGTGCCAGAAATATGCCTCAGTTGTTAGACAACTCGCCGAAGAACTCAATCCAGTCGTAGGACCCTGGCCATTCGCAAAATGAGGCATGGATATCGTAGGCTTGTTGCCTAGGGCGCCGGAAGTAACAAGTTCGTCCTTCTTGCCACAGACTACTTCACTAAGTGGGTAGAAGCAGAATCATATGTTTCTGTCACACAAGATGACGTTGTAAGATTCGTATGGCGGAATATTATATGCCGGTTTGGCATACCAAGGGCGATTGTGATGGATAATGGAACGCAGTTCGACAATCGAAGGTTTAGAAGCTATTGCACCGAGAAAGGGATCAAATTACAATTCTCTTCCAGGAGTTATCCCCAAGGCAATGGCCAAGCAGAGAAGACGAATCGAACGATATTTGATTGCTTAAAGAAAAAGTTGGAACAACGTAAAGGAAAGTGGCATAAGGAACTCCCTAATGTACTATGGGCTTATCACACCACAAAACGGAAGCCAACGGGTGAAAGCCCATTTTCTCTCGCTTATGGTACTGAAGCGGTTATCCCCACAGAGGTCGGTCTACCTACGGTCAGAACATTAGTTATGGAAAATGTCGAGAACGATCAGCAACTAGCCCATAACCTCGACTTAGTCGAGGAACAAAGAGAGATCGCCGCACTACGACTTGGGAACTACCAGAACCAAGTTGCCGCTTACTTCAACAAATGGGTTAAGTCGAAAAGATTCAGGGTAGGAGAATGGGTGTTGAGAAAGGTCATGGAAAACACAAAAGATTTGAATGCAGGGAAGCTTGGACGCATGGGAAAGACCGTATGAAGTGACCGAAGCCTTCGGAAATGGAGCTTATAAACTCAGGCACGTTGAAACAGGTCAGTATGTGCCGCGCCCGTGGAACGCAATTCATTTGAGAAAGTACCACATTTAACTTTTCGTATTTATGTTTCCCGTATTTAAATTTCTGTTTCCAGTAATGTTGAAGGGTAAATCCCTTTCCGTTTTCCTTGCATATCGAAGGGTGTATCCCTAGATGTCCATTGACATCTCCCTATTGTTTGATAAATAAAGTTGAATTTCGTCCGAATCTTAAAATAAAGTCTAAAGCTGAAGAGTATAAACTAAGGGATGAGGAACGAATCAAGATCGAAAATCAAAGATCGAATGGGAAAATAAAACCCAAGATCGGATGGGCAGAGACCCAATCAAGATCGCGAATATAAGATCGAGTGGGAAAAGAAACCCAAGATCGCATGGGCAAAGACCCAATCAAGATCGAAAATCTAAGATCGAGCAGGAAAGGAAAACCAATGGGCAAAAACCCATCCAAGATTGAATAAAGGAAAATGAGGCGTGACATGTACAAAGGTAAAAAGCTTAGGCAGTGGGATGTTGCTCTCATGCCGTAAAAGAGAATATGTTTTATTTAAAACATTCGACACATAGTGCGATAAGAGACAAGAATGAGAAGTAAACCTACTAGCGAAAAGGAAAAAACAAGGACAACAGCACTACTAGACATCCCAGTAGTGGTTGGAACTAAAGGCCTAACTTATTAGAAGCAAGATGACACCTAGTCTAATGGGGTAGAGAGACTATCCCAGTTTACGGAAGGAAATGCCGCTTTTGCCTTGGAGCGAAAATATTGGACGCCTTGCTTAAAACCATCATATATGCCATCTGAGTGAGCAGCAGACACAGCACGATCGGCAGCCATTAATTCCCCCCTGAGACGATCCACCTGGTGTTCAGCGCGTTGTAAGTGTCCCTTCAGAGTTTCACGCTCATTCAATAGTAGAGAGTAGTCGAAACACTGGGGACAGCGTGGTCGATGACGGGAAGGTGCCCGAGAAGGACCCGCTTCATCTCCTGCATAAGGGTCAGGAGAACGGGCGATAGAGTCAGGAACTCGAGTTGCGTGACTCCCTCCTGGAGAGACCATTCTGTCAGTAATAGGATTAAGAGCTCGAGTGGTATGATTTAGCCCCGGAGAGATCATTCCGTCGACAATGGAGTCTACAACTTGTTTTCCACCCGATCTTGTTCGAGACCGGTATGAGGATTCACGGAAAATGTTAGGGACTTCAGAAGAATAAGAAGCCCTCCCTGGCGAACTAGAAGAGGAGTTAGAACCTAGCTCGATTACATTCCTAGAACCCCTGGAACCCCTCCGGGAGCTTTTTTTCTTAGGAACATCAGCGTAGAGCCGGAAGTGGAGCTTCACTTTTCGATTGTTAGCCATGAAGATCCAGGTACTATCTAATGGCTCTCAAACATCCCTTTATATAGAGGCAATTCAAATTTGATAGAAACGAAAATTCAAAATCTAAGGTGATCGTGTCTTATCAAGATAAGTTAACCTCTTTGGTTTAAAAACTCAAACTTAAAGATAAAGGATAATTGTTCACATTCAGTTACGATTGAAAATTAAAAGGAACAGACAGCAAGAGTTAGGAAGTGGAAGGGCGAAGGCCCAATTTGTGAACGACAATCACGCGAAGATACAACGGAGATAATAAAGGAAAAAACATATTACAAACACAGATGGAGTTTTAGCCCACGAGAATGGATCACCAACGCAAATGGGGTGTAGCCCAAAAGAACAGACCACACGTTTGCGAGAGCTACTGAGCGCCGAAACGAGGGTCGGATTGAAAGCCTCCAAAGCCTAAACTCGAGATGGGTCTGGAAGTAGTAACAAACCCGCTGCCTGGGATAGGATCAGAAGAAGCAGGTTGGTCTGAGGGTCTCCGATCTTTAGGATCCATCCCTTCGTACCACTCGTATCCACCCGGTTCAATTCCCATATGGCGATCATACACGTCAGGATCATCTACAAATCGATGTTCTGGGCGCTGCTGGCTTTGCACCCAACTGAACCTGAAGCTGGGAGCCATCTCCTTATGTATTTGCTGCATATTCATCTCGCGCTCAGTGGCCCTCGCTCACTTGACCTCGGCCAACTTTTCCTTCGCACGGCATACTTCGGACGTCGCAGCATCCCGAGCTTCTTGCAAACTTGTGATCTCTTCCTTATATCCGTGAAGCTTAGCCCGGTACTCTCTGACCTATTGCTGAGTAAGGCTGAGGGATTCCAACCTAGCAGCTAGTCTGTCTGATTTTTCCCTTTGAATGAGAGCCATCTAGAAACAATGTCAGGGCTAAAGCTTACAGAAATGACGAAGGCATGAGAGAATAAAGGCATACCTTCATAAGGCAATGCGATTCATAAGAGTCGACATCGTCATCGAGCATTGCCTCAAAACGACCGGCGTCACTAGGGTGAACTAAGCCCCTTGCCACAGTAGTAGCAGCATTTGCATTGTCCTATAGATCGTTGCCGAGGGTGACGTGACTCCCATCTCTTTTTGTGAACTCAGGCCTCCAAGCTTGAGATGAATTGCTGGAACCATCACCACTAGCTGAGCCGAAGGTGGAAGGAGCCGATTGCCATAGCATGGATCTTGGGGCTGTGCCGAAGATAGTCGGTGAACCACGCCTAGACTTTTTGGACCTATCTGCCAGAGGACGCTTATCTGACCTGCCTGCAATTCTAGGTACAGGAAGATCACGTGGAGGCGACGTAACGCAGCGAGACGGTGGAATGTCAGAAGGTGGTGAAGCCATCGCAGGAGAATAATTTAAGTCATAATTTATGTCCGATTGCCCTGACTCTTCGTCTTCTCCTCCTTTGTCTTCTTCTTCTGAGCCCTCCGTTCGAGAGTCGGCCACAAGTAAGGAAGACTCTGCGCTGAACTGAAGGTCAAGATCGAGAGCGAAGATAGATTTGAGTAGGGGGTCTGGGGGCAACGACCGGTCGACCAAACAGTACGGGAAGTAAATGATGGAGTTGCAGAGAGAGGTGATTTAAGTGAGGGTGTCGGCAACTTTTCTAGAGCTCCATATCTTCCTCGTCACAAACTTCTTTAGCCAGTATTTTCGGTCTTTAGAAATGATCTGTTCAGGACCATCTGATAAAGCTGCGAAAGAAATTCATGGTAAGTAAAGTCCGCATATTTATAAAAAAAATAATAAAGGTAAATTTATATATACCAGGTTTAGGACCGAAAGCAGAAGGAATAGATAGTTGTGACAACTCGGGAGCCTTCCAGTTCCCCGAAATCAGAAGATGACGGTTCTTCCAATCTCTGGCTCTCGAAGGGCCCAATGACAAGAATTTCTTACGATATCTAGGTTTAAAATTAAAGAAGCTAGTTTCACCCTTAATAACCGTCAAGTCAAAGAGATAGAGAAAATCCCTAAAACCTAAAGATACGCCTAGCTTCAAACCCAACGCCAGAAAGGTCGACATAATCAAGTAAGAATTTGGGTTCAGCTGCATAGGGTGATTATTAGTGAAGAATAAGATGAGATGAATCATAGGGTGGAGCAGGAAACTAATGACCTCTAAATGGCCCGGAGACAAAACGGTAGACCCAGCTGGTATACCGAGGCCAGAATACATGTCAGCTCCGGCAGGAAGTGGGCTAAGGTGTATATCATCTGGAACATGACCTAGGTCACGAGCCTTGACAATTTCGAAGGGTGGTGGAGTACCACCATATTTAGACCAGGGTGTACGTCTCAACATGATAAACGGGTGGGAGACTTATCGTCCAAAATTTGGTTAGATAAGACAGAAGGGGAATTTGTGCTCGTAATGTTTGAAATATTCTCGCAAGAGGAGTTTGAAATGAAAATTACCTGTAAAGTAAGAGTTTTCTGGAGCAAGAAATCACAGGCTTGGAGAAGAAACTAAGCAGAAGAAGTGAAGACAAGCAAAGATGGAGACACAAGGTAATGACACACACACGCACATATACATATATATACATTTATATATATATATATATATATATATATATACATGCGTGCATAAGATATACACGAATATATAAACAGTACGTGCAGAGATCCGCATGTCAGTATGCAGAGATATGCACACATAAGTTGCTCGTAGGTCTACCTATATATGCCTACGAATCCAAACATATATATGTATACACACATAAAGTACATATGCATACACATACATATATATATATATATATATATATAGAAAAGCATGCAAAAGCATGCAAAAATCTGGACGTGATGTCCACATGGGATATATATATATATATATATATATATATATATATATATATAGAAAAGCATGCAAGGACATAGACAGGACGTGATGTCCACATGGGATATATATATATATATATATAGAAAGGCATGCAAAAGCATGCAAAAATTTGGCCGAGACAGGATGTCCACAAAAGTAAATATAGGGAAACGTGCAAAAGTCTGTCAAGAACGTGAGGTTCTCAAAAGTATGTATATATATATGTATATATGTATATATGTATAAGGTAAGACGAGACAGGACAATGAGTTATAGATAGTACGCATAAGTGTGACATGTCAGACTGCACAGTTAAATTTCGTCAGTCCTCTTTCGTCATGTCAGTCCACTTTCGTAACGTCAGACCCCTTCTGTAATATTAGTCCACGTTCGTAATGTCAGTCATCATCCACTTTCGCCATGTCAATCCACTTTCGTAACGTCAGTCCTCTTCCGTCATGTCAGTCCACTTTCGTAACGTCAGTTCTCTTCCGTAATATTAGTCCACGTTCGCCATGTCAGTCCACTTTCGTGATGTCAGTCCTCTTCCATAACGTCAGTCCACTTTCGTAATGTCAGTCCTCTTCCGTAATGTCAGTCCATAATGTCAGTCTCTTCCGTTGTGTCATTCCACTTTCCTAATGTCAGTCATTCGAAATGTTAGTCCTTAGTCCACCTTCGTAATGTCCTCGTAAATCCTCGTTCGTAGATC